ACACCCTCTACTGAGGATTGAGCCTGCAACCCCAGCATATGCCCTGACCAGAATGGAACCATGACCTCCTGGTTCACAGGTCCATGCTCATCCACTGAGCCATGCTGGCCAGGCCCGACCACCTGTTTTAAATTGTGGCCTCTGCAGCACCTGCTTTTTCACTGGGTTAATTTTTCTCCATGGCACATATTTCCCATGTTTGTCTGACTTATTGCCTCTCTCTTCCTGTTATAATCTGAATTCCATGATAGCTTGGTGTTGTTTGGTTGGTTCACTGCTGTATCCCCAATTTTGCCTGCAATAGTACTTGGCACCTAGTAGCTACTCAATAAATAATTTTGAATGAATAATCCCGACCCATCTCTACGGTACAAGATGTTTTCCTTGGGGAGGAAAGGGCCAATGGGCCCCAGTCCTGGAACTGATTGAACTTGTGGGGACATCCATGGGGCAATGTTACCAAGATAAGGAAGTTTGTAAGACGGTGAATGGAAAGAGAGAAAGAGGAAGTCACAGGAAGAAGCAGAAGCCTCATATTTTCAGCATTTGCCTGGGACACTGTCTCTCAAATAGATTCACTGTTAGGCTGAAGAAGGGACAAAAGAGGGAGGGAGGTGAGGCCAGGTGTGCCTCTGTTCATCTCTTCCTTACACTCTCATATTCAACTGCTTGGAATTCCTGTCAGTTCAAAACAGAGTCATGTGCTGCAGAATTATGTTTAAGATGCTGGTCTGATAAGATAACAGCTAAACAATTCTTACTGCCTTGTGATATTATAGCTGTCATAACATCATCACACAAAGGTTGCAAAAATCAACAAGGATGTGGTTAATGGTAAACAACTTTAACGTGATGTGGTTAGGATGACATTGAGCAGTTCTTAAGGTGGTTCGTGTGGTTTTGACTAATGAGGAGTTCTTGGAACTGGAATAGCAATGCATAAGTGAAGAAGAGGCAAGAGAAATTAAACTACAAGAGACGTAAACAAAGCCCCAAGAAAATTCAGTGAAGGTTTTTTTTATTTATTAAAATATATATTTTATTGATTTTCTACAGAAAGGAAGGGAGAGGGATAGAAAGCCAGAAACATCGATGAGAGAGAAACATCGACCAGCTGTCTCCTGCATACCCTCTACCGGGGGTATGCCCACAACCAGTGTACATGCCCTTGACCAGAATTGAACCTGGGACCTTTCAGTCCACAGACTGACGCTCTATCCACTGAGCCAAACCAGTTTCAGCTCAGTGAAGATTTTGCAGACCTCAACAAACTTCTTAAAAAGTTTGAAAATGATCTGGCCAGTGTGGCTCAGTTGGTTGGGCTTTATCTTATACACTAAAAGGCTGCTGGTTCAATTCTAGTTAGGGCACGTGCCCTGATTGCAGGACCAATCCCCTATAGGGTCATGCAGGAGGCATCCAAACCATGTTTCTCTCTCATCAATGTTTCTCTCTATGAAAAACAAACAGAAAACACAATTTTTTAAAGTTTTTAAAATCTCCAACATTGAAAAGGTTATCTTTAATAGAGAGAAATGTTCATAGTGCATCATCTACTTACAAACAAAACCTATATAATAAAGAGATAATATGCAAATTGACCATTACACCCTTGCACACTATGGCCACCCCATTTGGTCCAAGATGGCCGCCACAAGATGGCTGGCAGGGGAGGGCAGTTAGGGGTCACCAGGCTGGCAGGGGAGGACAGTTCCTCTTCCTGCCTTTGACTCCCTGCCAAACGTAAGTGATTGGGCCTGCAGGAGAGGGTAGTGGGGGTGATCGGGCCTGCAGGGGAACAGTTAGGTGTTGATCAAGCTGGCAGGGGAGTGGTAAGGGCAGTCAGGCAGGCAGTCAGGGAGGCAGGTGAGCGGTTGGGTGCCAGCAGTCCCAGATTGTGAAAGGGATGTCCTTTAGTCGGACATCCCCTGACAGGTCCCATATTGGAGAGGGTGCAGGCTGGGTTGAGAGACACCTCCCCCTTCAGTGCATGAATTTCATGTACTGGGCCTCTAGTCCTATTTAATAAAAGGCTAATATGCAAATATTGATAAATCAAATGACAGAACAACCGAACAACTGGTCGCTATGATGTGCGCTGACCACCAGGGGGTGCGTGGAACTATGGTGGTGGGGGTTGACAGCAGGCAGTAGAGCGTGGAACATGCTGGGTGCTGGGTGCAGGCTACGGAGGGATGGTGGAGCAGGTGAGCAGGGCACCAGACCAAAGCAGGTTGCTGGTAGCTGTCATCTGGGTGAGCCTCTGGTGGTTACTGTAAATTCTTTGCTCCCAGACTCCATGGTCCTGTCCAATGCTCACACCTGCTGCCATCAGTGGGAGTGGCAGCAGCAGGAGCAGGATTACAGCAGACAGGGAACTGGGTGTAGCAGGAGGGGCTATGGTGGGTGGGGCTGGGTGGGGGAGTAGAGGATGGACTGAGACCCCACCCTCCTGTGCACATTGCAGCCTCATGGCCCACAGTTCCTTTCAAGGTGCACAAATTCATGCAGTGGGCCTGTAGTCTACAATAAAAAAAATTAAAATTTAAAAATAAAGGAACAAAGCAAGGAAACCACCATGGATATATTTCTATAAGGAGTTACACCTTATAGTTGAAGAACCAACGGCTATTCCAGAAAAAGCCATCTCATAGGAGATGACCCCTCCATGCATGTGAAGGCCCCTGGAGACTTTCCAATGGGACAAGGTAATGGAGATGGAAGTCAGTGATATTGATGATCCTGACCCTGTGTAGGCCTAGGTTCGTGTGTGTATTTCTGTCTTAGTTTTTAACAAAAATGTTTACGGAGTAAAAAATACATATATGAAATATTTTAAAAATAGGAAAAGCTTATAGAATGCTTATAAAGAAAATATTTTTGAACATCTGTACCATGTGTTTGTGTTCTAAGCTAAGTGTTATCACAAAGGTCAAAAATCAAAAAGTTTATAAAGTAAAAAAGGTAGCAGTGAGTGATGTTTAATTTATTATTGAAGAAAATACTTTTTAAATTTAGTATAGCACAAGTATATAGTGTTTATAAAGTCCACAGTAATGTCCAATGAGGTCCCAGACTAGAACTTCATATTCATTTACTCACTCACTCACTCACCCAAAGCAACTCCCAGTCTTACAAGCTCCATGCATGGTAAGTGCTGTATACCGGTGTAACAATCTTTATCTTTTATACCATATTTTTACTGTGCCTTTTCTTTGTTTAATACACAAATACTTACCTGTGTGTCATCATTGCCAAGAGTATTCAGTTCAGTAGCATGTTGTACAGGCTCGTAGCCTAGAAGCAATAGGCTATATTGCATAGCCTTGGTGTGTAGTGTCAACATAAAAAATAACCAAACCTGCCCTGACTGGTTTGGCTCTATGGATACAGTGTCAGCCTGTGGACTGAAGGGTCCTGGGTTTGATTCTGGTCAAGGGCACATGCCTGGGGTTCGGGGTTCAATCCCTAGTATGGGGAGAGCAAGAGGCAGCCCATCAAAGATTCTCTCACATCATTTATGTTTCTCCCTCCCCTCCCTTCTCCTCCCCTCTTCTCCTTTCCCCTCCCCTCCCCTCCGCTCTTCCCTGACCCTTCCTCTCTGAAACCAAGAGAAAAATATTTTTAAACTATGCCCAAATGTGTAAGAATTTTTTATGAGTTTATTTGAGCCAAACTGACAATTTCTGGGGGGAAAAGGAAATTACTGTGACATTCCAAAGGTGTGTCATCAGGTATGTTATCGTAGATGCAAAGATTGACCATTGTTTGGGAAAAATACCAGCCAGGGACGTGACTAACGCCACGAACTGCTGTTAGTCAGAATGTGTAGCACACTGTGATTATTTGCAGACGCCGCCGCACCTGCCCCCCAGCCTTCCGGAAAGGCAGCCCGGCAGGGCAGGAAGATCCTTCAGCGCACCCCCCAGCATTGACTCAGTGCCTGGAGCATAGCAAGTGCTCCATTATTTATTGAACGAGCGGCCTGGATCAGAACCCTGGGTGCAGTGGGTTACTTTCCCGCGAGCTGAGCTGATTATAAACGATAAATAAGTCTTGGTATTTAGAAGGCAGGGTTTACAAGAACTAACACCAATAAAAAGTTTCTTCTGCTGCTGATCTAAAGAAGAACAAGAATACGGTCTTTCTCGGTGGTGGTGTTTTGTTGGTTTGTTTCTGTGGGTTTTTGTTTGTTGCTTCTGTCCAAAACAGGTGTCCTTGCTCTTTTTTTGCAACACCGGCTGCTTCTGTAACTCTACCTCGGTCTGCAGAGCTCTCCCGGGGGGGGGGCGCAGGTGGGAAAACCCGGCAGGACGCTCACCAGGGTCCGGCCGGGCTCGGTTCCCGGCGGGGGCAGCTCCCAGCTTCCCAGCGGGTCCCGGTCGCCCTCCCGGGTGAGATAAATGTCTCCTGGCGCCGAGCAAACCAGCAAACCACATCCCGCTGCTGATTCCCCTAAGGGCTGGGGTCCCCTTCTCCGCGACCACGGAAACAACACGCCGGGGTGGGGTCCGGCGGAGCCGGGACAAAGGGCCGCGCGCCAGCCGGGTCTGCGGAGGGGGGGAGGGGGCTCCGCGCGTCGGTGCTGCCCTACTGTGCGCGGCAAGGAAGGAGACGGGGAGGAAGCTCCGAGAAGACACTCCGATCGTCCTTCGGGAGTGCAGGAGAGGGGATCCGCTGCGCCCGTGCCCGCCAGGCCAAGTTTGCTCCGGGCTAAGTAAATTTTCTGGTCCCGGCTCTCCCGCGCACCAGCCGGGGTCCCGGTCCCAGGGTGAACGCGGGGGCTGCCCGGCCGGAGAGGCGGGGAGTGCGCGGCACTCGAGAGGGGTGGCGGGACCCCGGGTCGCGCAGGCGCCTTCTGACCCCTCACTGCACCCCCTCGAGGTGCGGGGGTGGGGTATGGGTGGGTGATGGGGGGTGGGGATGTCTACCAGCGCCGGAGCCTGGGCGGGCCGGAGGCGGACACAAAGCCCGCCCCTCCGCTCCCCTCCTCCCTGGCCCTTCCTCCCTCCTTCCTCCTCCCCCTTCCCCTCCTCCCGCTCCGCCCCGGTGGGGAAGCCCGGCCCCGCGCCAGTCCGCGGGGCTACCGGTCTCCCCGCTGCCCGGACCCGCGGGGAGGTCCTGCGCGAGGTAAGGGGCGGCGGCCGCGGGGACCCCACCCCTCGTGCCCGCACCCAGCGCCCCGGACGACCCCCGGGGTGCGGGCGGGGTCTCGGCGGGTTTCGGGACGCGGGGTGCTGCTCTTCCAACTCTTCTCCCCTCCGGGAGACCTGGGGAGAGAGAAGCCGGCGGCCTCGGAGGTCGTGGGGGCCGAAGGGGGAAGAGTCGCCGGGGAGTGGGGCGGGGTGACCATACGGCGCTGCGGGGCGGCCGCTGCCCCGGGCCGGGCCACGGGGTATCCTCAGCTGACCTTTGCGGGGTGGCGTGCGGGGCAGCCAGGAGGTGCCGGCGCGGTGGCCCGAGGAGCGGGGAGTGTGCGTGCTCCGAGGAGGAGGAGGAAGAGGAGGTGGAAGTTCTACCTGCGGGGACGCCTCCTGTGTGTCAAGTGCGCGAGGGCGGGTGCGGGGCGAGGACCGGGCTCGTGCGCCCAGCCTGAGCCCCAGCCGGACAGACGCTCCGGGCCCAGGTTTTCTCCCTCGGGACTTGGCCTCGGCGGGAGGGGGCCGGTGATCCCGGCCGGGGGCGATCGGGCTGCAGCGGGTGATTGATTGCGCTGCTGGCGGAGGAGGAGGAGCGAGCCCAGGGTTCCTGCCTGGAAAGGACAGGGCCACTTTCCCACTTGGAGGCCTCCACCCTTTGGCCTCTTATTCCCCAGGCTCGGCGGCATCCACCCACCAGTCACAGGGCGCCCCTCGACGGGCCGGGAGACTGCAGGGTTTGTAGAATTCAGCTTTGGAGTCTCTGATGTTCTTGCCAAGGAAAACAGGGCAGTACCGGCCTCCCCTGCGCCCAAAGAGACTCCTCTCTTCTGTAAGCTCCGGAGTCCTCAGGGCTTTCGGGATTCTGCGAGGAGGCCAGCGCTGACCTTGCTTGCAGTGGCGCCGCACTTGCTTGCAAGCCTGAGAGTTTCAGGCACGCTGGGGTTTCTTAGGAACATCCTGTTATCAACAAGGAAACCTCAGCATTCTTCAGCCAGCAGGGCTGTGTAAATATTGCAGCGAAAATAAACACTTGGTGGTTCTCAGTCATTCAGATAAGTAGCATTTTAAAGCAATATTTTAAAAATCAAATGCAATGTAAAAAAAAAAAATCCATGATGAACAACATGCCAACGTTTTAAATAAAGACGGGTGTTGTGATGACCCTGCAACCCGTGCCATGGGAACGTTGTTTCCAGACGCCCTCCCTGTATTTAGTCCCCACTCGGAGGTTTATGAGGGTTAGTAGAACATAAACATGTGACAGGCTAGGCAGTGCTGGCTTTCTATACCGTCAGGTTTGTGGACTGAGCAGTTTTTACTTACTTTTTACCTGGTTCAAATACGGGAGAATATCTTGATGAGTGTACATAGAGGCACACGCTTTCCCTGTTGCCTCCTGTCCGGTATGTATATCACACACTGGTGAGTTCCCAGTGCTCTGGACCTCCATGGAGGGTGTCAGGAGCCAGGGATTGGGAAGGACTTGGACTTTGAGAGGGCCTTGCTTTTGGGACCGGAGAAGGCGGCTGGTGGTTGACAGTAGCCTGGAGGTTTGAGGACTCTGCTCTCAGCAGTTGAAAGCTGGGGTCATGAGAGAAGGCCCAGCCTGCTGCCAGGCCTTCCTTGTCTAGTGACATTCTTCTGCAGATTACCTAAGCAGGAAAAAAAAAAAATTAAAATAGCCCACACTGGACCCTCATGCAGGGGTAGATGGCAGGAATTTGACTCTCTGGAGGACTATGGTATGTGCTGGTTTTAGAGGTAACTTCCCAGCAGCCCTCTTATCTCCACCTAATGTCCCCCAGCCCTTTTCCAAATAGTAACTCCTATTCTGCATGTGACTCCCCCGGCCCTTTTCAGGGGCCACGACTCCAAAGAGGAGTTCTACTCTCAAGAAACAACCTCCTTACCGAGCTAAGTCTCTTCCTCTGCTTAGAAGAGACAGATACGTTATTTCTCCCCCTTGCAAGGAGGCCCATTCTTCACATACTCCCCACATGATATCATTTTGGCATTATGTCCCACTCCCCCTATCCATCCAGCCCTCCTAATGATCCTTCAAGATTCCTAAGCTTTCAACTGGAAAGCTTTCCCTGACCTCCCTCCGCCTTTTCCTGGCCAGGCATCCACTTCAGAATCCCAGAATGACTTGTATCTGTATCTCTTATGAGCAGTTTGCACCGGACCCCACTTGCCAACTGTCTGAATTTCCTGAGGTCAAAAACCCAGTCAGAGCTTTTCCTGATTAGCACACAAGGAATGGGTGTTGAAAGAATGAACAAAAATATCCCTTATAAAGGGATTTTAAAAAATCTTCACCTGAGGATGTTTTTCATTGACTTTAGAGAGAAGGAAGGGCAGAGAAACACTATTATGAAAGAGTAACATGTATCGGTTGCCTCTGGCATGAACCTGACCAGGGATCAAACACACAACCTGAGTATGTGCCCTGACTGGGAATCGAACCTGTGACACTTTGGTGCACAGGATGATGTGCCAACCAACTGAGCTACACTGGTCAGAACTATAAATCCATTTTAAGGAGTCACACAACAAGAAGTATATCATTAGCAGAGAATCATGTTTTTATGGCACTTTATAGAGTGCTCTTAGAGAGGATGCCTCATATGTTTCTCAAAGCAATATTATTAATTCCATTTGTAGGTGAGAAAACAGAGGCCTGGAGAGGTGCAAGTACCAAAGCTAAAACCAGGGCTCAGATCCAGTAATCATTTCACTGTACCACCACGGACTTGCTAGAGGCGGCTGCGCTCAGTGTATGTCTAGAGGAGAATTTTCCCAGTTGAGTTTTAGGGTGAACCATTGCTGAAGAATTACTGAAGAGTCACCGTGGTAAAATACATAGAGTAATGCTCACGTGAAACTAAGGTTTTTCCATTGTAGGGTTTTCAGTGCCTTTCTCGTTAGAATGAGCATGGGGACTTCTCGGGATGATGCCATCATTTGGAATGTGTGCCAACTTCATTTGGCCACAGAAGACTCTTCCTTGTGAAGCATCTTCTGGAGCCAGCGTTCCAACGGTTCCACTCCGGGAAATGTTCCTTCACCCAAATGGTTTTTAGTTCACCTTCCAACATCTAGGCCGTTTCTGAAAAACGTTGGCACTCAGGATAGTAAAAATATATGTTCTGGACATTAAACCTAATCCCCTCTCGGAGATGTAGAGTGAATTTTTGGTCTGCCAGGTTCTGTGACCCTGGGGAACATGAGTCAGTTCTCCAGGTTTGATCGGAGCTGAGGAGCTGAGGAGGAGTCGGATAAAAGGGGCAAACAGGCCCTAGAGAGCTGTCTCCATGCTGCCCAGAGGCCTGCAGACCTCACCTGCCTCCCCTGAGAATGCCTCAGAGGCAGCTGGGTACTGGGAATGGCAGTGTTGGGGTTCTGACACTGATGGCACATTGGGTTGATCATCTCCATTGAACAGGAAATACCCCCTGAGTTTTCAGTTGTCTCACTTCCTCTCTCCTGGGGAGCTGGCAGTGTGGATGGTGTCAGTGTCTGTTCGTGAAAAGGAGCAGCAATCACTCACTGGGTGCCTCCGGCCAGGAACAAAGGGCTCCTGATGGTGGCCCCCAGTACATGGGCACCCATTGTTTAAAATCAGGGGTGTGTGTTTTAAATTTTATTGGGGTGACCCTGGTCAGCATGAACAGATAGTTTTCAGGTGTAGGTTTCTATGTTACAAGATCTGTATATTACACCTTGTGCCTGCCGGCCAAAGTGAAGTCTTCTGTTTTTTAAAAAGACTTTGCTTACAGCCTACTATGGTAATATCGGGCACGTTTCACAGATCTGTAACCCTGGCTGTTAAGGCTTTATTGCATTTAAGAGAGGAGGTGACCTGGGGAAGCTGGGATTCCTATTTCAGGAGCTCAGAGAAGAGTTGCGGGCTAGCAGAGGATCGGAGCCATGGGAAGTAATAGCGTAATTCCAGAAACGTAGCTGGGTGAATTTACTGTCCACCCGCAGTTATTTCTATATCTCCAAGCGCTGAGCAAATTTATCTCTAGATTTGTCTCAGAGTTTTCACTGAGTGTGAAAAGTGGCCGCTGATACCAGTATTGAAGTAAAGGAAAGGAATGTTTTGAGAAAAATGGACATCTATCAGATGGTGTGTATATGTGTGTGTGTTCAGCAACTGTGTGTGTGTGTTTATGTGTGCACATGCGTACACAATAGCGCACTCAAGCGCTTCTGTATTTGTGGCCATGGAAGAGAATGGGGAGAAAATACCAAGTATGATTTTAACCTGTTGAGTTTAAAAGTTCTGTATGTTGCCCAAATAGGAATTTTCCATAAGTAGCTGGAGACACAGGAAGTAATTGAGACACAGAAGCTGTCTCTAGTTAATGAACTTACTCAGAGTGAGGCCACAAGAGGAGCAGAAAGATCAAACCAGAACTTTGTTTGGATATGGATCTATTGGCAGGGAAGGGGATTGTGAAGCCAGGGAGGAGGAGGAAGAGCCTGCACTTATGAGCAGGACCATCCAGAACCTTGCACATCTGTCGTGATTGTTTAGGGCCCAGGCTGACCCAAGATATGAAGTATTTTTTAAAATATATTTAAAAAATATATATTTTATTGATTTTTAACAGAGAGAAAGAGAGAGAGATAGAGAGCTAGAAACATCGATGAGAGAGAAACATCGACCAGCTGCCTCTTGCACACCCCCCTACCGGGAATGTGCCCGCAACCAAGGTACATGTCCTTGACCGGAATCGAACCTGGGAACTTTCAGGCCGCAGACTGCTCTACCACTGAGCCAAACCGCTTCGGCATGAAGCATTTTTAATATCCCTGTGAAGTACGTAGTATCAGCTGAGAGTGAATGGAACCACACAAGTTAGTATAGTCTCTAGCAAACCCACTCAACAGCATTATTAAATATTGATTGATTGAACAAATGACAGTGGTTTTTGATTAAATGACATTGATTAAATGACAATGGTTTTTGGAGTAGAAACT